TCTCTCTCTCTCTCTCTCTCTCTCTCTCTCTCTCTCTCATTTTACAGGTAAAGAAACTGAGACCCAGAGAGGTGTAGTAACCTGTCAGAGATCCTGTAGCTATTAGGTAGCAGAGCCCAGATGCAAACCCAAGTCTGCTGACTTACAATCCAGTGCTCTTTTCTGTTATACTGTCTCCTCCTTGTGACGGCCCAGCTGATCAGTGGGGATACCCATTTATCCAGCTGGCCTTCAGATCTGTTACTTGCTAAAGGCACCAGGAATAATAATAATCATGATAGCTTGCATTCATGTAGGGTTTTAAGCTTGCAAGCATTTTACGTGTTTTATTGGAGCCTTACAGCAACCCTGTGAGATAGCTGTTCTAGTATTATGCCCATTTTAAAGATGAGGAAACAGAACCAGAGGATTTGTCCATGGCCACTCAGCTAATGTCAGGTTTTATTAACTCCAAGTGTAACAAACATACTATGTATCACAGCACTCCTTTGAGATGGTAGGGAATAGCCCTGGATGGGGTTAATCAGCTGGGGCAGTAGTGTGCAGAGGAAACTGCACCATAAAGGGATTCAAAACCCTTCCTTAAGCACTCTGTCCTTCCTGTCAGTCAAATAAGGCTTTTGGCCTCAAATCTGCAACTATTTGCAAGGCTAAACCAACAGATGTTAATATTTCTAATAATTAATAATAGGAATAATCCCAGTCAGACTGGGGGAGAAGAGAACCTGACAGCATCCTGGATGAAATAAAAGCACCCACCTCTAGGTCATAACAGATGAGCCACCCCGCCCCCATACCCAAGTGAAAGAACTACCTTCTGCTGCATCCAGACAGAAAGAGCCCAATGGGAACATCCCACTTCACCCCATCCCGCCCTGCTGAGTGAATGGAAATTGTGGTTATTTCCATTTACCTTCTAGGGTGGGTTTGACCTGATTGTTAGTGTTTGGTCGTTCCTGTAGTCTGCTTCTATAGTATGAAAACTTGAGCCAGTATTTTAACTTCATCCCCCCTCTTAGTTAACCCATTTTCTGGCAAACTAAATACTTCCTTCCACGTTTTTCAGAAATGTCTGAGGCAGAGCAGAGGGAACAATGAGGCCCTGATGATTTCTGGCTTTCTCTTCAGATTACAGTTCTGACTTGCCAGTCTGGAAAAGACATTGTTAAACAGCTGGAGGGAGAGTTACAAGACACAGACGTGGTGAGCCTCCGGAGACTGCAAGTCACCGAGATCTCGAGGGGAGATGTGCTGGAGTCGATGGACTCCCTGTGGCCCAGCCAAGCCCCTGCTGAAGAGCTTAGTGCTGATGGTGAGTACAGGAAGAAAAGGTGACAGTGCTGAGGAGCTGGCCTTGATGGGGAAGGACACTGGGTTGTGATCTCTTTACATCTCTATGAGATGGGCCCTTCAGCTCCTGTCAGGATTCAGGCAGGTATTCTCTTTATCAAAAAGATCAGTTTTCATTTTCAACTTTGTTTTTTGTTTTCACTCTTACTTTTTCATTATTTCAATGGTGGTAGTGACTATACTCATAGGAACACAGAAATGTAATATTTTAGAGCTGGAAAAGACCTTAGGTGTGATCTAGTTCACCCCTTCCATTTTAATATGAGAAAATTAAGGCCCAGGGAGGGGGAGGGCCTTGTCTAAGATAACATACTGAATGAGTGGCAGAGACAGGACTACAGCCACATCTCGTGATTTCCTGTCCAGTGTTCTTCCACCGTTTAAGGATCAGACTTAGAAAGAGAAGGGTCTTTTGAGGTCATCTGAGTCATCTTACATTGAGAAAACTAAGGAGGACCAGAAAGGTTAGGTAACTTGCCCAAAGTCACACAGGTAGTAATTATAATTAGCAGAGCCAAGACATGAATTCAGGTCCTATAATTCCAAGTTCAGCCGTTTCCCACTATATAACACTACACTGACTCAATTTTGTTACTCTTGGATTACCTCCTGGCATATTGTCCAATTTCCAGCCTTCAAGCAGATGTACATCTGAATCATCCATGTCCAATGGAATTTTCTTGCTTATCAGCTATATGATGATTTCATATAGCAAAGTGGGGATCGTGACTGCATGGTAAACCACAAACTGATTTTCAGTTGCAATGTGGTACATCTCAAAATATTTCGTCCTTTGTGTTTCCTGTTGTTTTGCCATAAAGACAATGAATTTCTTCATCTCTGTTAGCCTTCTGTGAGAGTTTCTTTATCACAGAAATAGAGATGTGTTGAAACTAAGGTGTTTAACAAAAACCTAAAAACTGTATTCTCATCTAAGGGCTTTGTCATTGTCTTGGAGAGTAGTAGCCTTCTTAGAATCAGAATAGAAGAGTGATTCTCTGTTGATGACTTGTTTTTCCAAATAACCCAATTCTATTGTAATATTTTAATTGATTGAATCAAGACCCAGAACACTCCAGGACCTTAGTGAAACCCAAAGTTATTCAAAAGAGAGCACCCTAACCATCCACACTGAAAAAGTAAACTGAAGGAAAAAAAATACCTGTTACCCAGATCATGCCACTGTTAGACAAGTAGCCCCTTGGAACAGTTTTTCAGTGTGTCCTTCATAGATGGGTCCTATACATGTGCAGGAGGAGGGTTATCCTCAGTCTCACTGCATGAGTGGTCTGCCCCCCAATCTCCACATTCGTCATGAGTTTTATGAGGAGGAAGGTAATGGAATGATGATTCTGTTCATGGGCAGGAGGTTGACCAAGAGCAAATGTGACCCGTTTCCTCTTATGTAAGATAGAGAAGTTGTATTCATTGATCTCCAAGGACCCTTCCAGATCTGAATTTCTATATTACTAAACTAAATACGTTTTATCTTATGTGTCACTAAAGGCATTGATCACTGAAAGGCCATTTCTGATGAACTTACATTGCAAGTTCACGAAAAACACATTTGATTTCGCAGCCAAACTGGACCGAATCTCATCCTATCTTTTTCTACTTCCACGCATTCTCAGTGACCATCCCCAAGCCTGGAATGTATTCCCTCCACACCCCTGTCTGTAGAAATCCAGTGGAAAGAGCACTGGCTCTGGAGTCAGAGAACCTAGGTTCAGATCCCACCTGTGATGCATGCTACTTGTGTAACCTTGTGCAAGTTACTTAACCTTTTTTAAGTTTGACCCTCTGTAAAACCGGAGTTGGGCTAGATTGCTTCTGACGTCCCTTCCAGCCCCAGATCTTTGCTTCTGTGGTTTTTTCCTTCAGAGTCCAGCTTAGATGCCATTTCCTCCATGAAACTTTCCCTCCTCAAACTGAAAAAACAAAAACTTTTTGTTATTCTGAACTTCAAAAACGCCAACAAATGTGAACATTTTCATATGACAAGAACAGAAAAAGAAGATTGTTTGTGAGACTCATCTCATCATGTATGGAATGTTTTTTAAATTAGTTCTAAGCTCTCCTGCTTGTCTATGTTGCCCTCTGAACCTCCTTCTGTTTTCTCTGTTCGTTTTTTAAAAATATACTTCATTAATACTGTTTTGAGGGGCAGGTGCATTGATCTTATTCTTCTTGCCTCAACGTGCATTCTTCCTCCTCAAAAAAATTTTTTTTTAATTTACCCATATAACAAGTTTATGTAGTTGAGCAAAGCAAATCCATACAAAACAAATCCATTAGCTGAGTCCAAAAATGTATGGGGTTTTTTTTCCCCTCACTTCTAGACTATCACTTATGGATCAAGAGGTGGGAAGCATGCTTCACCACTGGTCCTCTGGTCATGATTGGTCATTTAATTGGTCAGTTGTTTACAGTGTTATGGTCAGTGTGTACATTGTTCTCCTGGTTCTACTCATTTCACTCTGTGTCAGCTCATATAAGTTTCCTCAAGTTTCTCTGAAGCTGTCCCCTTTGTCATTTTTTGTAGAACAAAAATATTCTATTATATTCATACGCCAAAATTTGTTCAGCCATTCCCTAGTTAATGAACATCCCCTTAGTTTCAGTTCTCTTCTACAACAAAAATGTATATCTATGAATAACAAATGAGATCACATATATTAAGCCTTGCAAAGCTTAAAGTACCATGTAAATGCTAACTATGATGATTGATGCTGTACATATGGGTCCTTCCTTTTTGCTTTTATTTTTTTGGGGTCAGGTCTCATAGGGGTATCCCCAAGTCAAAAAATCTGTACAGTTTAGTGACCTTGGGAATTTAGTTTCAAAATGAGTCCTACAATTGTTGGATGAGTTCACAGCTCTACAAAAAGTCATCAGTGTCTTTGTCTTCCCACTTCTCCTCTAACAATTGTCATTTCCTTTTATTTTTGGGAGGTCATCTTAAAGGTGTGAGATGGAACCTCAGAGTTGTTTTATTATACATTTCTCCTATATTAATGACTTAGAGCATTTTTATATGGTTGTTGATAGCTTGCTTTTCTTTTGAGAACTGCCTATTCATATCCTTTGACCATTTATCTACTTGGGAATGACTTTTGTTCTTTTATATTAGGATTAGTTCCCTACATATCTTGAGTATCAGACCTTTATCAGCTAAACTTGCTGCAAAGATATTTTCCTAGTGAACTGTTTCCCTTCTAATTGTAACAGTATTGATTTTGTTTGTGCACAAGCCTTTTGATTTCACGTGATCAAAATTGTTGGTTTTATCTTTTGTGGTCTTCTCTATCCCTTGTTTTGTCAAGAGCTCTACCCCTTACCCACAGATGGAAAAATCTCCTTCCTTGGTCCCTTAATTGTTTATGATGTGACCTTTTAAAAATATTTAGGTTATGTACCCGTTTGAGGTTTATTGTGGTATACAGTTTGAGGTGTTAATCTAAACCTAATTTCTACCAGCCCGATTTCCAGTTTTCCCAGCTGTTTTTATCAGATAGTGAATCCTTACCCGGTAGTTGGGATCTTTGGCTTTACTGAACACTGGGCTACTATGTTCATTTACTTCTGGATCTCACGTTCCTAATCTGTCCCACTGATCATCTTTTCTAATCTTTAACAAATACAAAGAGTTTTGTTACTTACTGTTCTGCAACAGAGTGAGGTCTAGTGTGAGGTCTAGTGCTCTCTTTAAATTGTCTTAGGGGAGGGGCAGCTAGGTGGCACAGTGGACAGAGCACAGGCCCTGGAGTCAAGAGGTTCTGAGTTCAAATGTGACCTCAAACACGTAACACTCACTAGCTTGTGTGACTCTGGGCAAAGTCACTTAACCCCAAATGCCTCACCAAAAAAAAAAAAAATTCTTAGGGGCAAGGGAGACATCCATAAAAATCTCTCTCATGTTTTACCTTCGATCATACTTCCTTGTGTGTTAGACTACAAATGTCTTGAGAACAGGAACATTAGGAATGTATCTTTTTCCCACTTTTGCAGTCTCAGCACCTAGCAAAGTATCCTGCAGGTGTTAGGTGTCCAAATAAATGTTTGCTTAGTTGAATAGAATTGTGATTACTGGATCAAATCACTAGAAGATGAACATAACAACCCCTGGGGATAGAGAAGGAGAGTAAATTCCTTTCTCTCATCCCATTCCTACATTTGGATGTAGGTAAAATCAGACTACTGTGAGTGTCAAGGACAGTTCTGAAAGGGAAAGGGAATCTTACTAGAAGGGGGTACAGCTTAAGCCCAGAAGACATGCTTTGGAGATGGAGACAGAAGACGGTTAGAGTAGTAGGGTAAGTGGGTGGAATATAGGCTGATTGTAAGATTTTAGTGCCAGTGGATAGCAGTAGCACCTCTCCTACTACCCTGCTCCCAGCCTTCCTTGAGTCAGTGCTCTGCATGAGTCACCTCCCCAGGAAGGCGGCTGTATGTGATTGCCTTTGAAGTAAGGAAGTGATTACAGTACAGCTTTCTCAGAACACTTAACTGAGGGAAAGCTTTTCCCAGTGGCAAGGAAACCAAACCAATTATATCATATTCTGCTGCCATCACCCTTTACCCATCTGGCTGTGCTCAGCTAGTCCTGTAGTCTTAAACTTGTTTTCAGCCTGACATGGGTCTGTTTGCCAAAAACTTCTGACCAGGATCTTTGGATTGTTACCCTGGGTTCCCCTTCACCTTCTCCCCAAGGAATTGTGGGCTCACAGCTCGCTGGGTTAGATCCTGGGGACCCTCCCCTCCAAGAGGATCAATAGCTCTCTTTGACTCTGCCTCCGCCCTGGAGTTTGATTCCAGTCAAATCTACCAAAGCTTAGGTCGGGCTTATGGCTGTGTTTCCCAAAATGTTCTTAAGCACCTGTCTGAGCATATGACTTCCTTGCTTAGTCAACTCCTGTTGCCTCTAGGACAAAATAGAAACTCCTGTGTTGAGGCATACTCACA